TGACAAAAAAAATCAAGGTGGAGGGACTCCGTGTTTTAGAATGTGGAGACGCGGAGCTGCTACAGGAGAACGGGACCAGGATCGTAGTAGATCGAGCCATTTGGTTGAAGTACGAACCTCCAATAGTCGCCATGCCAGAGTTTAATTTCATCTTTACTACGTTGGCATCTGTGCACGTCACATGCATTTAAAACGTAAAAACACACCATGCCCCCTATTTGCCCACCCTGGACTAATAAATGTCCTTGGTGATTAACACAGGGGGGCAAATTGAGTCTCTCATAAACCTGTAGTGAAGGAACACCGTCCTCTCTGCGGATCCTGTCGGGAGAAACAAACACAAATGCAATGACTTTGGTTGTGTTCAACCCACTGCACAACATGGTTCATGCAATGGTAGTAAACCTCTGCTTAACACCTTTTCTTAATCTATCCTTCAGGTATGGACATCTCACCCATTGATCTGATCAAGGTGCTTCCGGTTTCGCTATGAGTGGTCGCATTTTCGAGAGCTCCCGCTTTGGAGGTTATTCCTCACGATTTTTTACATATTTCATCCTCCTGACAATATGGATTATGGACTCCTACCTCAACTCATCAATGAGGCAACATCACTTAGAGAAGGAGAGTAGTGAAAGCAGGGATAAAATGAACCACAATGACTTTTACCTTCTCAACGGCTGGGAAAGGAAACACCTCGCTTTTGGAAGTGCAAGCATTCATGCATTATTAACTGCAAACCCGACGCGAAAGTACTTACCCCCGTCAGGCAAACTAGACCGAAGAAGTATGATCGTCTTGGTCTTATTGTTAGCGGGAGACATCCATCTGAATCCGGGCCCGGTGCAGACAAGAAGCCATTCCTGCAGGCTCGAGGAGCTAGCATCACAACTAGCATCACAACTAGCATCTCTTCCGCTACAGCAACAACTACGCGACGACAACAGAGACCATGGAGACAGCGGAGACCGAGGAATCAACGGAGACTTCGACATTCCCCCGGGGACGCCTCGGCAGACAGACACGCATGAGGCAGTGACGAGAGGAAGAGAACCGAGATCCGAGGGAACAAATATCCACCATGTTGTTAGCCACCCTGCTAGCATATCGACGGCTAAAGCTACAACGGAGCCTCCCTCCCCCCACCACCCCACCGCTCCAAGCACCACGGCAGGCCGCAAGCCGTTTGCTGTAACGGACAAAGACAAATATCTTCAAGCTGACGACATTATGCATTTAAACAACAAAAATGGACTACATATTTTTCATCTGAACACTAACAGCCTGAGACACAAACTGGCTGAACTCAGGCAACTGTTCATGAACGGTAAGGCAAGCATATTATGCTTTTCTGAGACCAAATTGGACAATTCCATTACAGATTCAGAGATTGAAATTGAAGATTATCTTGTAGTGAGAAGGGACAGGAACGTGAATGGAGGTGGTGTCTGCATGTACATACATAAAGACACCAATTTCAAAAACCGTACTGACCTGCATCATGAAAATATTGAATCTGTGTGGGTTGAAATTCTTTTTGACAATGCTAAATCTGTAATAGTCGGGACAATCTATAGACCACCGGAACAGAGTGACTTTTATGATACATTAGATGGGTGTTTGGCTGATGTGGGGGATGTAGAGACAATTATTATTGGAGACTGGAACACGGATATGCAACGTAAAGACACGTCCGTCTTCAAGTCCTTCAGTAGGATTTGTGATCTGCACGGCTTCAGCCAGCTAATCACCCAACCCACCCGGGTATGTGAAACAACACAAACTACCATTGATCTCATTCTGACCTCTGACAGGTCCAGGATCTCCAGTAAAGGGGTTATAGCATGCGGTTTAAGTGATCATTATATGATATTCTGTACCCGCAAAAAGCTAAAACAAAAGGCCGGCTGTCACAAAACAGTCATATCTAGAGACCTCAAAAACTACTCTAGCGAGGCCTTTAACCTAGAACTGGAGAGCCTGGACTGGTCAGATGAGCTCAGTGGTACACAAGTTGAAGAAACATGGCTTGGTTTCAAAAACAAATTCTCTGCAATACTCAATGATTTGGCCCCCCTAAGAACAACCAGGGTAAAAAATCGCGCTGAGCCGTGGATGCACTCCGGCATACTGACCGCCATGAAAACCAGAGACAAAAAATGCTCTGAGTTTCATAAAAGTCAGTCAATGCTTTCCAAAAGCACGAGCAGTGAACTCCAGGCCCACGTGACTGAACTAAAAATTGAAAGAAACAGACTAAGAAATGACGTAAGCTCCATGATCAAAACTGCCAAAAAGAATTTCATCAATGACAAAACTGAGGAAAACAAAAATAAACCCCGTGAACTTTGGAAATTACTCAATAACCAGCTTGGCTGCAGTAAAAAACTCAAAACGAGATTTTCAAACGTAAACATAAAGACAGATAACAGGCTCATCACAGACAAACTGGATGTGGCCAAGTACTTGAACATTTTTTTCACAAACATAGCCACAACTCTTGTAAATAAATTACCCTCCCACTCAGGGCTTTTTGGAGTAGATCACATCATGACCTACTACAAAAACCTAGGGGTACGCAAAGATGATTTCAGTCTAGCAAGGGTAACAACAGCAGAGGTACTCATTAAACTGAGCGCCCTCAAACCTAACAAGGCCACTGGCCACGACAATATCCCCTCCAAATTCCTCAGAGACACAGCAACCGCCATCTCACCAGTCATAGCTCACATAATTAACCTCTCCATAAAACAGGGAAAAGTACCCAAAGACTTCAAAATTGCAAGAGTAACCGCCCTGCACAAAAAGGGCAGCAAATTGGACCCAGGCAACTACCGCCCTGTTTCTATACTTACCTCCATCTCGAAAGTCATGGAAAAAAATAGTATATGAACAGGTCGAAAAGTACCTCGCAGAAAAGAAACTAATCTATGAATTTCAATCTGGCTTTAGAACATCCCACTCCACTGACACATGCCTTCTTTATTTGAACGACCACATCAAACAAGAGGTGGACGAGGGTAAATACTGCGGCATGGTGATGCTGGACCTACAAAAGGCTTTCGACACTGTCAATCACCCCATTCTGATTGACAAGCTAAAAGCAATTGGTTTTGATAAACTATCGGTGAGCTGGATGCAATCCTACCTGGAGGGGAGAGAACAGATGGTGGAGGTAAACGGTACTCTGTCCCCCCCCCCTCCCAGTGAGCTGTGGTGTTCCACAAGGAAGCATATTAGGTCCGTTACTGTTCCTAATTTATGCAAATGACATGTCATCAGCATGTGACTGCAACTTGTTCCTGTTCGCGGACGACTCAGCCCTGCTGGTCTCTGACAGGAGCAGATTGCAGGTTGAAAAAACCCTCAGCTCCGAGCTCGGCAGAATCTGCACCTGGCTCGCCGATAATAAATTATCATTACACCTGGGTAAAACAGAGTCCATTCTCTTCGGTTCGAAACATAATCTCAGCAAATCCGACGACTTCTCAGTTGCAGTGGGTGACATTATTGTCACAAGTAAGAAGGAAATTACATACCTAGGATCTATTCTTGAGGCAAACCTCTCCTGTGACAAAATGGCATCCAATGTAATAAAAAAAGTCAATCAAAGAACTAGATTCCTATACCGGATCTCCTCTCTGGTAAACAAAAACACCCTGAAAACTCTGGCAGGAGCACTCATTCAAGGGTACTATGACTATGCTTGCACGTCATGGTACCATAGCACCTCCAAGGCGCTAAAAATAAAACTTCAAACATCGCAAAATAAACTGGTCAGACTACTGCTTGACCTTTCATCTAGAACCCACCTCACCTCTGCCCACTTTGACAACCTAGGATGGCTTAGAGTAGACGACAGAGTACAGCTACTTGCAATGGGCCTGGTCTACAAGATCCACTACACCTCTATGGTACCCATGTACATGTCAAAATTCTTCCCAAAGGTCAAGGAATACCATGATCATAACACCAGAGGGAGCTCCACAAATCATGTAAAACCCAGATTTGGCACAAAAAAAGGGGAATACACGTTTCGCAATTATGCCACATCAAGGTGGAACGCTCTTCCCACAACTGTAAAGGAAAGTAAAACTATACTTACCTTCAAAACCTCTCTTAAAGAGCACCTTCGGGGGAAAGCATTGCAAAACTGGCCCCGGTAATGGTACAAATCTCAACCTGTCGTACAATGGACAGCTTCCCCCCCCCATCTATGTATATACTCGCATTTTAGACTCTGTTACTAACTGTATATCTGTAGACTTGGTATGTCTTAAATGTCCGGTTAGGATGTATTAGAACGAAATCTAAAATGAAAATTGTAAATAAGCCATCTGTATGTAAAAAACCACCTGTATGTAAATTGTAAATAAGCCATCTGTATGTCAAATATGTCTTATATGTCTTAAATGATATGATGAATTGGAAATGGGGGACCCTGATGTAAACAAGACGAAAGTCTTTCTCTGGTCTGCATCCCCTTAATAATTGTATGTTTTGAGCTGTACTGTACTGTACCCAATATACAAGCTGTTAATAAACTTTTCAATCAATCAATCAATTCAATCAATCAATCAACATTGAGAGATTCTCCACTCGCGTGGTGGCTCTGGCTGAATATCCACTCGGGCTGCAGGAGTACCTGCGCTGCAAGATGGCCCAAGTGGACCCAGCTTTAATCTGAGAAGTGGCGAGTTAAAGTGCAATGTGTTCACTGTATATAAATTACTCTAGGACCAATGATGTGTTTACCAAATCTGTCAATCCCCTGAATCTCTGTGTTGATACTTCCGGTCCTGATGGTCCTCCTGAGTATTCCATTTCTCATGGTACCTCCCCCAAAGCTCTGTTGGTCATTGAGCCTAATGCCCCTTTCTTCTTCAGGTTGGAGCTCGTCTGATCTCCCATGCTGGCAAGTATATTTCAAAGTCGGGCCGGGCAGTAACGACATCAGAGTTCTTCCTGAAGAATGTGAACCCATTTCATGAGGTCCCCCCCCCCCCCTCCCTGCTGGGGAATAAAGTGGCTACAGTGATGGCAGGGCGGGGCAGGAACCGAGCAGGGTGACTGGAGAGGGCTAAGGTCTCCTCCAGAGTGATCCCTCTCCCCCAATGCACCCCCACAGTCTGAGGTAGAACATCCAAGTTATATTTCAACTATAAAAAGTGGCTGTGATGACAAACTTGCCCTCACTGATTAGATCTGATTGAGACAACTTAGATAACTGAGCCACACTAAGGGAAGGACCCTTCAGACTGAATCAAAGTTAATGCATTTCTGCTCTAATTGCTGTCTCTCTTTCTTCAGGTGTTGGATAACGCTGATGCAGAGAGAAATAAGATGACTAAATCACCTGCAGGTATGTTTTTAAACTACACCTTAAATATGGATTATTTCTGGCTGTGATGACAAACTTGCCCTCACTGATTAGATCTGATTGAGACAACTTAGTTGTCTCAATCAGATCTAATCAACTAAGCCACTTTAAATAAAAGGTGTTTCAAACTCACAGTTTCTTTATCTTTCTTAAGGTGACCATGATGGCTGAGCACTAGGCACTGATCCTGATGCTGCCGTGACTTCATGAGGATGTCTCACTTCAAGGTAATTTCAAATATCTTGTATAAAATGATTTATTCACAGCATGCTATCCTAAGGACCGGGGCTTGTCTGTAGCTCTAGGGTTCTCCAAGTGCATGCCAGATAAAAGGTCGGTCTTTGACTGTTCTGGCCTCTTATGCCATCAGCAGCCACTCAACTGTCCAACAGATCCTCACGTCATTATGTAGAAATGCTTACTGCGCAACAACAGTTCTTTATTTCTTCTATATGTTATGCTACGGAAGAAAAGTTTATTATTCCGTCCAATTATTTTGTCCGTCTTCTCCTCCCACATTCAACATCGCAGAAACTCCGTTCAAACATCAAAACGTTCAGCTCGGTCGGGAATCGATGGCTATTACTTTTATCATTCATAACTTCCATAATTCCAGAGATACATCCCATAAAACATCAAATTTTTAACATTTGAACTTTAACATTGCGCAGCTCGTTAAGTTAGAGTGCGTAGGAAATCTTGAAATTTCCCTTCATATTTTTTTTTAAAACTGCCATAATTCCCAAACCCTACATTCCTGAGACATACTTTTTCATGACAAACGTAGGAAAACATCTCGTAGCTTGAAAAATGACAAAATTAAGCAAAATAATTAAACAAAATGCCTCTTGAGGGCATGAAGTGACAAAAACGTTCAAAATGTCTCAATTAAAGCCCATTGTAATTTCAGGCAGATATTTCCTCACAGCAGCAGCCGCACACCTTTAGTTAAACTGCCAAAAAGGCCACATTATTAACCCGAAAGTACACAAAAATTACACTTCAGATACTCAACTTCCTTGACATGCTTCACGTTTTGAAATTTCACAGATATCTGTTATCGTTCTTCCACAAAACGTTCACATGTAAGAGGTTCATCTCTGATTCAGAACAATGCAAACCTCTGATCTTTTCATAGCTCGTTAGCTCAACTATAAACACCTGTGTAATGGAACACGATGTCATCACTCCAACTGACAGCAGTCAGTTCTAATGCTGCGTTCACACCGGACGCGATGCGATGTTTGTGGGCGGCGCGATTACATGTAAAGTCAATGCAGAGACGCGGACAGACGCGAATTCGCTCCGACGGCGAGCATGAAGCGGTGGACGTGGCGCGAATCACGCGATTGAGGCGATTGAACGGTGAGAGTTCAATTTTTTTCAACTCGAGCGTCAAATTCACGTGACGCGTTCTCGCGGAAGCCAATCAGCGGTGAGGATCTCAGCCAGTGCCGTCACTGACGTTCAACCACACATCAGCCGTTAGCTGTTAGCAGTTAGCACACAGAGCGCACAGCTCCTCATATCTGTTCAGAAACTGGACAAAAGTTAAACAAGTACAAACCACAGACTGTCTGTGTCATGGCGAATACAGTCGCTGGTTTATTTATGTCTGTAGGCCGTTGATATGAGTGTGGAATGAGCATATACAACGTTAGCTTAGCCTGGTCGACCCGATCTTCATTCAGAAAACAAGCATTTTAAAAGGTTTTTCGCCTGCCGTCTTGTCTGCAGACTTGTCAAGCATTAATTCATGGTTTTTACTAACCGGTATCAGTATGTTGTTACTTCGGCATCATTTAGAAACGTGTATTACAATTTAATCACGGTAAAATATGTTCATGTTGTAGTTGTAGCTCCCGAGCCAGCGCGTCTTGTTTGAATGATGCGAGTAAACACAGCTGTCAGCCGCGGTGAAACTCGAGCGTTTAGAGCGATGCGATAGGAGCGATTAGAGCGAAGCGAATATTCGCATCGCCTCCGGTGTGAACGCAGCATAACTGTTCATTTCATACACACACACTCTCTCTCACAAACTCTCTCTCTCTCTGCCACACCGATCCATGCCTCAACAGCTCTACGCCAAATCTGAGATCTCACCATAGGCTGTTTCCATGGAAACGCATCCCTCGCCATAAAACACGATGTTGTCGTGATACCTATGCAAATGGTCCAAACACCACCAGACTTCAGATGACAGTTAATGGTCCAGCCCTCAACATGTCTATATACCATTAGTGAGTTTTCCTCAAAAGCTGTTGCCATGGCAACGCATCCCTTGCAATAAAACACGATATTGCTATAACTCCTATGAAAATTGTCAAAAAGTGCTAAAACTTCACATGTGTGCCAACAGTCCAGCCGTGAAGACATCTACGGGACAGTTTTGAGATTTCTTCAAATGCCGTTGCCATGGCGACAGACCACTCGCCATGAAACACGATGTCGCTGTAAGTCCAATCGACACGGTCGAATCGTCCCCAATCTTCACTTGTATATCACCGGTCCATGCCTCAACAGCTCTACGCCAAATCTGAGATCTCACCATATGCCGTTTCCATGGAAACGCATCCCCCTCCATAAAACATGATGTTGCTGTAACTCCTATGAAAATGTTCAAAAAGTGCTCAAACTTCACATGTGTGCTAACCAGGATACTCTGCAACTTCTACAGGTGCACGATAGAGAGTATCCTCACTGGCAGCATGACGGCCTGGTACGGCAGCTGCACCGACCTCGATCGTAAGGCTTTACAGAGGGTGGTGAAAACTGCACAGCACATCACCAGGACGGAGCTGCCATCCATGGAGGACCTTTACTCCCAGCGGCTCAGGAAGAAATCACTACGGATTATCAAAGACCCCCATCACCCCAGCCACAAACTGTTCTTTCTGTTGCCGTCTGGCAGACGTTACCGCATATATATATATATATATATATATATATATATATATCATTCCAATAACTTGTATATAGACTCATACTGCACTATTCCACATCATAACTTTATTTCATTTTTATAACTATTATTATTTTTGTATTGCTCATGCTCTTATTGTTATTATGTTATGTTGCATTGTTGGAGAAGCCTGTGACATAAGATTTTCAACTGCATAATTACTCTGTAGCTATGTCAGATTGACAATAAAGAACCTTGAACCTTGAACAGTCCAGCCGTGAAGACATCTACGGGACATGCCGTTGCCATGGCAACACAATGCCCGCCATGAAACATGGTTTTCTCATAACTTCAGTGAAAATGCTCCAAATGGCCCTAAACTTCACAGGTTTGGTAACACTGCCATCAACGCATCTAAGCGTATTATGGGATGTCATCAAATGCCATTGGCATGGCGACAGATCATTCGCCATCAAGTTAGTTCAAAAGTTTGCATTTCAAATATTCTGCTGCTTTTCCAAGCCTTTTTACTTTCTTTTCTTCTCATCACACATTCAAGCTCCCAGTGTTCATGTATCATTTCAATCTAAATTCTTCACTTTCTTCTTACACATTACATTTCAGCATAGCAGTTTAGCGTCAGCTTTTCAGCATAAAGCATTCCCACTAGCAATTTCTTCAGGAATTGCATTCTCTAGTTTTAATGCTGTTCTCTTCCTGCAGGCATCAATCTGCCCATGAGATCTAATCCGATGTCCTTGGGATGCAGAGGCTCCATGTAACATGAGGTATTTAAGGAGATTTGTCTGCATCATTTCATAACTTCCTGATCTATGATGAATTTAAAACAAGAGGACTGTTGGATGAAACTCGCGGATATGGGACTGAGATTAGCTCTTAAATAATGACCTTAGAAAAAGTGTTTGAATTTCACTAAATGTAGTTTCTTTGTATTCTCAGGTGCAGTGCGTTGAAGGCAGCAGCAAGATGGTGAAGGAGGACAGGAGGATGTAAAGCTCTGAGTCGTAGCGACTGGAGAAAGTGCTATACGAGTACCGTCAGAGTTCTCTGTAAAGGATTTCTTACAAACTGTACAGCTGAACGGTTTCTCTCCGAAACAATTGTTGAAATAAACATCTTACACAGAACAATTTTGAGAATCCCTTTATTGATATTCTTGTATTTACACATGTGAAGGACATTTAGAGTTTGTGATGAATGTTTCACAACACTTATGGTGCAACAAGCATTGGATGCTTAGTTCACCAAGTTAATACATAACATTAAAAATGATAAATACTTCCAGACACAGCACATACTGAGGGCTTGTTTTTAATGAAAAAATGCATGGGTTATTTTTGAAAAATCTGGTTGAAATTGTCCTTTATATCCCACTATCATGTCTAGCTTAAATATCAAACTGAAGCACAGGTAATGTGGTCTTTGACTAATACTAAACTTTTAAGAGTGATTTCCTGTTACTTTGTCACTGCAATGCCAAATAGTTTAAAATACAGTGGCAACCCCACACATGAATGGTTTCAGGATGCTTTACTGTTGGAATGACACGAGTGATGGTAGCGTTAACTTTTGTTCTCCGGACAAGCTTTCTTTTGGACTTCCCACACAATCTGAAAGGGGATTCGTCAGATAAAATGACGTTACCCCACCCCTCAACTAGCCAATCCCTGTATACCTTTTGTGGAATATCAGTGTCTGATGTTTTTCCTGGAGAGAGGGCTTCTTTGCTCCCCTTCTTGAAACTAGGCCATCCTCCAAAGTCTTCTCCTCACTGTGCAGATGCTCTCACACCGGCTGCTATTCCTGATCAAACGGTGCTCTGCTGGTGCTCCGATCCTGCTCCTGATCAACTTTAGGAGACGGTCCTAGTGCTTGCTGGACTTTCTTGGGCGCCCTGAAGCCTTCTTCACAACAATTGAACCTCCCTCCTTTTTCAGGATTAAGTTCATTTTCATAGCAAAGAGGGATGTTGAAATAAATTGCAAATCACTCTTCATAACATGCTGCAGTATTTGTGTCATTCTCAAAACTTTTGGCCACGTCTGTACATTTAACCCATCCTTGTATGAGAGCCGTGTGCAGCTCCTATAGCTCCAGGGCTTCTACTTTAACCTCCGGGTTTAATTTAAAACATTTCACGAATACCAAAATGTTTGCGCATAATTCAGTTATTTTTATTACACATTTTTGGTGCACATGTCCCCCTCATAGTAAATAAATATCGCTCTACTGCACATCATTTTATTTCCTTAGTCTCATTTATTCTTCAATGTGCCTACAAAACGGTCAAACTGAATTTAATGCAATTTCCAGGTAAAAATAGAACTTATATCCTTCCTGAATTTAACAACAGACTCACCACAGGATGCTTTGAGTCTGGGTCGAGTTAAGTGGAGTTGGCGTCTAAGAAGAAAGCAGAAGAAGCCATGAAATCTTTTTTTTATTAAAGCAATGAATGATAAGATAAGGGTAAGTATTAATGACTGTCCACATATTTCTTTCCCAATTTATAAACCAGTTTGAAAATGCTTATTATTCTAATGCAAAAGCTCAAGTGTCTTCATATTGTTTAAATACATGGACTTCATTTCACCAACAAGGCCCAGGACCCCCACTGACAGTGACTGGTATCCACCCCATAATAACATTACATTAATGTACATCATGTGAACAACATCTTGTTTTTAATACTGTGAGCCATGTTCAGGCTAAGCTCTCTGCATTTTGCACACGTCTGCACGGCTCTCCATTTTAAAATATAATTCACTGTAGATTGCCATATATTCATTGTCCTAAATATGGTGACTATTGCCACTCAATATCACAGAGGGATTTGCTAAACTGGGTGATTTAGTAGGACGAGTGTAATCTCCATTGACGACGAGGTTTTTTGCTTTCAATGCCATTTTATTTTGTATATTTTGTGCTCGGCGACACGGTCAGAAAACAGTTTATTCTTCCCAGTCCCATATCACACACCTGTACCAGGGACATCAATGATATTCTGTTGCACCACTGCGCCATCTAGTGTTCAAAATATAACCAATAACAGACAGCCGAACCCTCGAGGAACCCACTGAGGACAGAGGAGACAAACAGGTGATGGTAATAATCTTGATACGTTATTGAAAACAGCCTCGTGGTATTTCATCGGCTCCAGATTGGCTGAGTCGATGTTCTGAGGAGGAAAACACCGTCATGTGATTGGTTGTTAGTTGAGCTTCAACCTGTATGACTCTATCTGTTGAGCTTCATTGTTTTACATTCATCAGATGATATTCTATACGACAGGACCCTCCTTCAGTCTCTTTCGGCTTTAAGCCTTCCGAAGGACAAAGAAGAGCATAACCTCCGGTAAGATACAAATATTCGTATTTAATGTCACAAAAGTGTATAGTTGTTATATTTAGCTTATAGTGAACTGAAAATAAGTATTTTATCATGTCAAGACAATTACTGACTGACATGCTGAAACCAACGAGCTAACGTTAGCTTATGTAGCTTAGTAGCTGTTATCACGTGGTTCAGTTAGCTTACGAGTGATTCTACAATTTAGGGTACATTCCATGTCCATTGATGTCCATTGATGATAATTATAATTATTCTAACTATTGTCTTCAAAAATATCATATTTTGCCTATTATTGGAAAGCATGTTATAATATCACACAAACATTATGTGCATCCTATGTTTTATTTAGCTTGAAATGTGTCATGATGTTCTTAAATTGTCAGTTTTTGCTATGTCCGTTTTTCAGTTGAGGGTGTCTTGGTTTCAAAATAATGAATAAAAACCATTAAAGTAAATAAAAAAAATTATTCATTTATTTCAAAAGTCTAAATACTAAAGAATAATAACATATTTTTAATTGATTTCGTCCTTTAAATAATTTAAATATCTTAATATATGAATGTCCGCAAAAGTTCTGTCAACTATGTCACTAACAGAACTCCCCCCTTTAACTCAAAAATGGTTTGTCCCAATACCATGTCACCAGCATCACATGATGCCATGTTCCTCTTTGGCAGACATTTTGAACACATTGTGGTGATTGTCCTCTAACTTTTTACAATATGTTATGTATAATAGCACATTGTCAATGAGTATATTAATTGACCATCAACAATGTTACGTACATTGTTATGGTTTACAATTGTTTAATGATTTTAATTCAATTATATGTTCAAATGTGATGTTAACCTGTTCAAGAAAATGACATGTGGTCATCCAGGCAAGGCCTACCATTGAAATGATGGGTCAAAATAGGGAAATTGTCAATTAAGTTACCCAGTACTGTAGTAACTTAGTTGACAGGTAACCTAGTTGACAATTTGTATGACATGTAGATGTCATTACACATCATTATCAATGGAATTTTGCACTTCTGCCTTGAAATGAACATAGTGCTGATGGTTAATAATGTGTCCAGTCAACTATGTTATTTGCGTCAAATGTTTGACTTTCATTGTCAACTATGTTGCACCTCATTTTTTCAAATTTAAAATATCTAAAATAGTGCTTCTGATATCCTTTATAGTATAATGTATATCTACACAGGTTGGAGTTTTACATGACATCTCTTAAAACTATCAAAATGACCTGTATGGTAGTTTTATTATACAAAATATCCCTATCCTTAATGACAGTGCTCAACATATCACATGAAAAAACAAAACTTTAATACAATTATTTTTTAAACTTTAAAAAATCTTTGGATATATGGTAGAATAGACTCTAGAGCCTTTCAAATTTGATTTTACTTGAAGTGCAGGACTTAATCAAATGATTGTAATGACTTCAAGTTTGTCCGTAACATAGTTGACAAACTGAGTAGTGAAAACATCCTTTCCCTTAAAATAAATAAAAATGTTTAAGCTTTGCAACTAGTGGATATGTTACACTGAGGAATATACTAACTTGAACCACTGATTGTTCTATTGAGAAAGAACACTTTCTTTGTACTGTTTTGTTGATGTGAAATGCACCCTAAATTATAGAATCAGTCTTAAGTTAATAGCTATAATGGCATGTTAATGTAGTTGTATTTTACCAAACATTGCGCTGCCTTATTATCAGTGGCGTTCTTATATGTACAAAAGTGGTGGGGCACAAAAAACGTAGATGTCTATATATAAGCTTCTGCAGTGAGGTTCATGGCTGGCGAGGCACTGGTACTGACTCTTCAGGTTTACAAATATTATATTTTGACCTAAACCAAAATATAATATTATTTTCAAAAGCTTTTTTTTGTCTGATGCTTCGATTAATTTTAAACAGACAGTTCAACAAAAGGATACCCAAGCAATGTAATGTTATCATTTAAATATTGAATTGTTCTCTCTTAGTAAGATCCCATTTTCAATAAAATTGCCGTCTTACCTTGACTTGAAGATGAAGTCCATTTGCCTATCCTTCTGCACAAAAATGTCTTACTTTTTTGTAAAAGTCCTCCTTATCTTCTTGTAGTTTCAAAAGTCTATCATAAATCTAATCGATAGATTTATGATTCAAAAATTATAAAAGTAGGGTAGACATGTGGATATTATCCGGCTGAACAAAACGTGCATTTATCTAACGGGTACGTTTCCCACAGATCTTATTTCGAGCTATTTTCTAAAATCCTATGGAGAAATCTCATTGCTTTTTTGTGGAGGGAAGCCACGCGCAGCTTACTTCCGGGTTTTAGGACGCGTCACTGCAGCTCTCCTCTTCACACACCACACTTTTCGCGGCACACGTACTTACAGCCAATCGGCTCTGAATTATGTGAGATGACGTATGGTGGGGATGGCAGCTCAGTGCCCCGATGGTCATTATTTTTTTGCCACACACATTAAATAGGAAAATACTCTGAGCATGCGCAGTGTAGTTTTTACAGTCACTGTTCACTTAGACAGTGAGAGGGAGGGGCATGATCAGGTTTTGTCCCACATGGCTCTAAACAGCTCAATAGGCACACACTGTAGACACTAATTAGAAGAACACAGACTAAAACAGCAATGTACAGACGAATCAGATGATTAACCATGATCTTAAAATATATTTTATATATTTTTATTTTTTGTAATCATTATTTGTAATACTTTCTGCTGACACTAGGTGGGGCTGGAGCATAATGTTTACT